GTTTGTTTTGTTTTACAAAATGAGCTTGCTCTTTAATTCAGGGAACAAACACATTTGATGTTAAGTACTGAGTTGTTGTTAAGTGCAGTCAAGTCGTAGGTGACTCATAGCGACCCTATGAATTAAAGTCCTTGACACTTGTGTGACTTTCATCCTTTCTCCAGGTTCATAGGGTTTCCAGAGGCAAGCTGTTTACGGAAGTAGATGCCACTCCAGCTTCCAAGCTTGTTTCAACCAGGGAGCGCCACCAAACACTGTTCACTGTGGGTAACCATTATCGTAGTTGACACGTTAGTGTCACAGTGTTCACCTTCACAGCTACTACAAGTTACCCCTGTACAGCAAGTGGACACACCAGGGCTATATGACCTAGAAGAATGTTTCACCAAAAACAATTAACCACAGGCCTTAGGGCTGTGGATAGTCACCCACCTTTGGCTTGGTAGCATCACTTTTGGTCCACTAGGCCAACTGGTCTCTATGTTGTTAAGTGCCATGACCCTATTAAGTACTGAGTACTGAAGAAATTATTTTTAAAAAGTGTTAGCCAAAAACTCCCTCCTGCCATTATCTTGAATGCCTCAGGAATTGCCATTATCATTTTTGGTTTACTATTAATTGTTGATTTATCACTGTCGACTCAATGGCACATAACATGTACACCAAAACATTTGTCAATACAGTTTTCACATCTATAATTTCATTAAATGGATTACATTTTTTTCCATGTTGTGCTACCATTGTTGCTATGTAGTTTTATGCATTTATTAACACTCTTGTTTAAAAGTGAGATAAGTTTTAAAAAGAAAAAAGACTTTAACTTACATAATGGGCATAATTCAGAGAGCCCTGCACTGCTAGTTAAAAAGCCAAATCTCTCTTCTTGTTGTTTGTTGTTGTTGATTGCCATCAAATCCAGCACGACTCATGGCGACCTTATGAACAGAAGACACGAAGTCCTTCTAGAACTAACGTTGGTTTTCCAAGTTCAGTTTCCAAAGGCATGTTGTTTAGGAAGTAGATGCCACTTCTGCTTCCAAACTTGTCTTAAACTGGGAACTCCACCAAACACTGTCCACCATGGTCAGCCACTATGGCATTTGACCCTCCAATGGCACATGGTTCAGCATCACAGCAAACCCAGTACAGCAAATTGACAGAACAGTGCTATACAACTTAGAAGAATGTTCCTCCAAAATATAGTAACACTAGACCTCCAGGAGGCCTTGTTGACTCTAAACAAGAAGCTTAAAAAATGAAACATTCCATACAACTCTCAACCACAACAAAGAGCACCTAGCTTGATTCCAGCTGTCACCCAGTCTCCAAAATGAAGACAAGGGCCTGGCTTTAAATACATCTCTCTAGTAACAGCTCAAATTTACCAGGCATTTCACCAGTAGGATTGGCCTCTTCCTGCGGTTACAGCCTCTGAACTCAACTGGAGGGTCAGCTGAGTTAATTCTGATGAGACAGCAATACGTGAAATACTTTGGAATCAGAATGTTTTGATAGCTTATAAGTAGGAAAATATTATTTGTGATTTGAGGGAAAGTTTTCAAAGCAAATTAATTTAGGGAGGGGACTGATAGGGAAGATGAGATCTGGGAATTTCAGTGGGGGAAGGGAAGATAACTTTTAGTGTTGTAAATCTCAAAACTGAAGGGGGCTGAGATGGTGTGAGTAGTGGTTGTTCAGAGTTTTCATGTCAGTGTGAGAGGCCCACATTTGATTCCCATGAAGCTCCTAGACAGCTACCATATCTGTCAGCAGAACCTAGTGTGTGGCCAATGGTGAGCAGATTTCAGTGCATCTATGACCGGCTAGGAAGCCAGGCCTGGAGATCTACTTCCAAAATCCAGCCAAGATCCTATTGTGTGTTCTTCCTAAGTTGGCAGACACATAACACTGGAACACTCTGAAAGGGGTACTGATGACATGAGAGCTGGAAAAGCAACAGTTAAACGAATTAAATGACAGTTAATAGGTCAGACAGAAGTCTGAACCCATGAGTGGCTCTGCAGAGGGAAAATCCTACAACCTGTTTTTATAATGGGGCTGTTTACTGTTCCTTTTTTGTCCTACAGAGTTTTTATGAGTTGGAATTCACTCCATGGCAAATGAAAAGATGATACAGATTTGGGAAAAAAAGACCAAATACATGCAGAAAAGCCTCTGCCTAACTGGGAAACACAAATTGCCAACATGGTAAAGGGTGTAGATTGCATGAAAGGACATGCTGGAGGATTTGATCTGTCTGCTTTTGGGTTGGCAGCACAACTCCTTTCCCACTAGGCCACTAGAGTTCCCTTTAAGGAATGAAGAGTTCTCTAAAATCATTATTTAGCATAAAATATCTCTTAAAATTCTTATCATTCTTCTGTAGAATGACTGTTTTAGAATGCAGTTTTACCCTTTCTCTTAGATTGTAAGTAACCAGCAAGGTAGATTAACACTTGGACATGTTTCCACCACTATCATCTGTCTACCTATGTGATTAATTATGTTTCATTTCTGTGGACACAAACACAAAGAGGCATTTGTAAGAAAAGATAAAATCCACATTTATTTTATTAACATCAGCAGAGTTCACTTTTTCCTTATGACCTTTTTATAATTTACATGACCCAAGTAATACTAATTCCTGCTCACACACTCAACATGTCCAAATAATGGTACTCAATTCAGTAACATAGCCAGGAGACACCCCTTTAAGGTGATTTCTTATGTTTTCATTCTTCCTACTACTATAGACAACTATCTTACATGAAATCCAGGTCACTTAGTAACTATTAGCTATCAAAGAAAGGGCAAAAAACTACCTTTTTAAGGTCACATGCTCGACTGATTTTTCCAATTTACCTTCTGGCTACCAGTTTCTACTTTTTGCAATTATGTGTTTATTAAGAACTGTTTTTCTTTTTAATCTCTCTACCCTGTCTATAAATTTATAGAACAGCAAATGGCATATTCATTACAGGTCCTCAAGTACACCGAATGAGTTTTGCAGAACAAATAGCAAAGAGGTCTGTGTGAAATGAAATGATGCACCTGGATTTTGTGTCTGGTGTGGAGTTGCCTACCACATTCACTGTCGTGTTTTTAACTTGAAACTCCCTGATTTAAACCCCTGACCCTCCCATCTCTCCAGATAATTGGAACAAGTGCTCTTCAATAAAGTACAAACACTGGGAGGGCATGTCTTTATGCCACACCACCTAAAGGCTACTTAACAGCCTATAGAGAAAAGTGGAGCCAAGCTTTGTGTTCCATAAGATATCCAGACTGGATCATGGTTGTCTGGACTGGAAAAGACTGGCTGGAAAGAAAAAACCTGTGTGCTGCCTGTTGTGCCCCTTTCCACCTGGGAAGATCTTTCCTCCAAATAAGATTTAGCACAATTCTAACAGTTATTTTTCAACCTTTCAGACTTATGCTTAAGACGTATGTCTGAATGACCAATTAAAATGAAGCTAGCTTTTAAGTATCTACTCTGTATCACTGTCTTTAGTACATGGCATGTATTACATGATTTCCCCTAACAACTGTCTGGGAGGCACTTAACTATTCCAGTTGGAGTAACACTGAAGAACATGGCTAAAGTTCTGTTTGAATCTAGAAGCCACTAGCTACCACTCTCTAATTATATGTAAGTACGGATGTTCATAATATTTACATCAGAATCTAACAATTTGTGTATTAAAAAAACCTTTCAATCATTAGAGGAATAATGTCACTGCCTCAAATGAGAGCAACCTAGAAATTTCTTAACAGCAAATTATGATCAGGATAATCTGGGAGGTCTCAATTCAAATCAATACAGATATACAATAGCACAATGAGACAGTAACCTATCAGCCTTGTGGTTTACTCTTCATGTGAGCACCTGTAACACAAAAATGGAGGCGCCACTGTTGTAGAATGGGACTGTCCTTGGGGTTGGGGAGAGACTGAGTAAGATGGGTTCAATAATGTATGCTGCTCTGAAACAGAGAAGGGAGAAAACTGTTTAAAAGAGATATGTGATTAGGTATTTCTGTCATGACAGGAGTCTAGAGCGATGGCTACATGGTGGAGGGGACCTGGGAGAGGGTTTGTAAAATAATGAAAGAATCTTTTCTTTTACTTTTCCAAGAGGGTAATGTCTGGTGGGGGGGAGCCTGGGGAGGGGACAAATCTACAACAATGAATGAATGGAAATCTAAAGCCTCTGTAAATTTTCACTGAAATTAATAACAAATTTAAATAAAATAAAAAAAAAAAGAAGTTAGAGTAAGGATGGCAATGGAACCACCTTACCTCGATATGAACATGTACGGCTAAGCACAATTGATAACAGTGCATCTAAATTCCAAAATCAATCTCCATAATAGTCTATATGTTTCCTACTGCCAAGGGGGTCCTTTAGAGTAGTGAGAGAAGACATTCACCCTGAAACCTACAGCGTCCCTTTTCAGCAGGAAGTAGCTAAGAGAATACGCCATCCCCTTTTCCTTATGAATCAGGGTGAAGTCTCTCTCAGGGAGGAGTGATAGGGAATGGCAAAGGACACACTGACAAAGAAGATTATTAATCAGAACTGGCTTTGACAAGCACTGTGACAACTGGACAATTAAAACAGACATGGGGGGGGAAAGAAGAACGAACTGGGGAGGAGGGTGGAGAAAACAGTGCAACAATGAATGAATGAAAACCCAAAATCTCTGTAAATGTTCATTAAAACTAATAAAATTTAATAATTAAAAAAAAATGGAGGTGACTGATCACATACAGGATAAACCAGACCAAGAGTTTTGCTATCCTGTTTGAGAAGGAAAGAAATTCTGAATGACTGACCTAGTTTCTGGAATTTTTGTTCCTAAAAAAATGGCCTGTTTTTCTTTAGTCCATGATAAAAAGTTAAGATGCAAAAAGTCATAATTCTTTTGGAAAGAAAAGGCTTTATCTTCTTTGGCTTAGTTCTTTCAATACTGGCTCCAGTACTGAATAATTAGGAGACATCATTCCTCTTTGATCCAACAGATCTTGCCATTTTCTCCAAGCTGGATAGCTCCACTGGCCAACAGCTGGAGGGCTGCAGGAAATATTTTATGTTCTGCCACTTTCACTCTTTCAGACAGTGTTGCAACAGTATCACCCCTCTTCACTGAGACAGCTTCTTGTAATATAATCTGTCCAGCATCTACGTCTTCCTGGAAAAATAAGAGAATATTTTGAACATTACCTTCTAGTCAGTACAACCCAGAGTCAAATGGTAAAAGTATCTGCAGAAAATGCAAACTCACAGCCACAAAGTGTACAGTGCAGCCAGTGACTGTGACGCCAGATTCTAGGGCTTGTTCATGGGCATTTGCACCCTTAAAAGAAGGCAGTAACGATGGATGGATGTTGAGCATTTTCCCTAGAAATGAAAAAAGAAAAAAGAAAAAAAAAAGCAGTGGTTAGAATGTCCGAATCCTGTATATTCTGCCAAGGGCTTTCGTGTTGAGCGAGGAATCTACAGAAGCAAGATTTCTCTAGGATGGATGTTTTCTTGTCAAAGATGGAGATGAGGTATAAAGGGAAACATGGGCTGTCATCCATGTAGGCTCTGGGGTTAATAGGTGACTATTCTGAGTATAGGACACCAATAGAGGGCTCTGAACAGGCACTCACTGCCTGTTGGATGGCCAATTCTAGGTGGTGAGGTCCTTGAAGAAAATCCAGCTGTTGTTGGCACATACTGTTAAAGGGGGGCAGTTCTAGAAAACTGCCTACAAATTTCACTTTCAATCACTCACTAGTCCCTGGATGGTGACAGTCAAAAGAATGGTGGTTTTTAAGTCCATTCACATACACCTTGGAAGCAAGCACAGGCAATATACTTTCAAAAGGTCATCAAACAACTTAGGGGAGTGACCTGAGTCAAATCAACTTGATGGCAACTGGTCTGGATATAGTGTGTGCGTGTGTCACAAGGCACTGCCTATTTTATATCACACCATAACCACCCTAACTGGATCCATTCAAGAAAATACCAACTCTTAAATTGGGTTCCCTGCCTAAATGCACACGCAACCAAAGGAAACAGGAGGCTGGCACAAATTTTTGTGAAAAAGGCAGTAGCACAAAACAGCATGTGAGATCTGCAATGACAGCTTCCCTGTTGTGGTCCTACCTCCTGACGAGAAGGTGGGCTCTTCATTGCCGAGCACAGGGAAGCATTTTCTCTAGCTGCTAAAACACCAACAGTGTTTACAATAGTATGAAACAAACCTTCTCCTGAAGTTGAACTGGAAAAAGTAACCACAACAGGCCAAAGAAAATTCAAAGAGTACTTTAATAATTGGGTTCTTTGGACAAAAGCAAAGGAAATGAAATAATAAAATGCCACAATCAAGATCACTGACATTGTTTGGCGAGTTAACTACTCTGCAGTTCACTTGAAATTGATTATAAAATGTGAAGTCAAACGATTTTTGCTTACCATTCCATTTTCTGACAAAAGGGCCAGACAAAATTCTCATGAATCCTGCAAGACAGACTATGTCTACGGTGAACTCTTCAAGGATTTGGTCGACTGCATTGTCAAATTCTTCACGCTTTTTATATAGTTTATGGTTTATTACCTGTAATAGAAAAGGTAGGTTCAATTTTTCAATGAACTACACAAAGACTGAACTTTCATGATATGTTCTTCTACAAACAAACCAAAGAATTGTTGTAGAAGAACAGGATGAAGCACAAAGAGCCTAGACAAAACTAGGTTCCAACTAAAATGTCCTTTCTAAGTCTAAAAGGACAGTGCCCCACAGAGCAGCGCAGATTATAGCCTACAGGAAAGGTGTCACAGTAACTTACTCGGGTGGGAATGTCTGCTCTTTCTGCTTTATCCAAGCCAGCCACTGCAGCTTTGTTGGAGATGACAACAACAATACGAGCAGAGCTGTTTGGGTCGCGAGTACTGTCGATGAGTGCTTGAAGATTTGATCCTGCAAACAGACACACAGCAATTTGAATAGGGAATGGCCAAGATATTCAAAGACTGGCTAATTATGTGAGATTTTACTTTGCCCCTCTCAAGATAAATATACAAGACATTCCTGGCTTTAGGATACATAATTGCTTTTGCAAAATAACAATACTGGATCTAGCATGATTTTTAAGCTGACTGGTGAGGAAATCTGTTGCTTAACTGAGTAAAAAAAATGAAGTCTCCCATAAACAACTATGGGCATATGTTATTAAATTTGGCCTAACATGTATGAAAACCTCAAAATGGACTCGGTAAGCAATTACACTTTTGAGACATATCCTAAACAACAAAATATGTATGTTAGAAATGTGTTACATATATTTAGAATGACATCCATACTGATGTTACTGAAAGAGAGAGAAAATAATTTATATCCATTTGAGAGAAAACAGTTATTTATCCTTTTACTCATAAAGGTTAAGGACATATTTTCTTCTTAAAAATAAATATACTGTATCATTTGAGCATTTTTACCCATAAATTTCCACTCTTTCTCTCTCTCCTTCCAAGTTCCTATTCTTGATACCACCTAATTGACAGTTTTATTTTAATTGTTAAGAGTTGCTTCAAATGCATATGAAACATGGCAAGACTAAGGATGTGGAAAAGACACCAATGCTTGATGATTTCCCCATGCAATTCTGCCAAGAGCATTTCCATGGCTCTCTTATTTGGAGGAAGTCTGAGCTCACCTGTTCCAGATATTAAGACGGCCACTCTAGCCCTTTTTGGTTGGACAGAAAAATGATTTTCCAAGAAGCCATTCTTGAACACTGATCCATTTATGTGTATGCTTTCAATCAGATGTTGGACTCTCACACGAGAGGAATCTTCATTTCAAACACAAGCATACATAAGAACATTTGTTAATTAACAATAATAGAAAAATAATTTTCAGGCAAACTTTAAAAATATACCATCATACTTAAGGAAGTAACACTAGTATAGTCATCGCCTACTGGCCTGGCTTGTTGGTAGCTGACGTGTATATAGTGAATATATTACTATATACCAGCATCCTAAAGAAGCCCTTTGGCGTTTAGGGCTGGGTTGCTAATTGAAAGGTTGGTAGTTCAAATCCACCAGCTGCTCCAAGGGAGAACCATGGAGAGCTTGCTACTGTTAAAATTTATGGCCTTAGAAACCTGATGGGGCAGTTTTACTCTAGTCTTCAGGGTCACTATGTGTTACATTTGACTCTTACGGTGAACATGAAATGAGTTCTCTGCGTTCCCTTTTATCCTTGTAGGCCTGTATATGCTAATGCCCTGACTACTTTCTCCAAATATGCATGTGACCCAACAAGGCCATTATGGGCTAAAGAAACAGATTCAAGGCACATCTCTAGCACTGGGAGAAGAAATCCATGTAGTAAAGAAAACAAATGTAGAGAATATACAACATTAACAGGTCTGATATTCTTTTAAATTAACCTGAGCTGTTTTTCTGCCACTTTCTAGTAAGAGTCTCACTTAATACACAGTTCTTGTCAGGGTGCCGACTAAATATCCTGAATTGAGAGGAATCACAAAGTCTGAGACAAGGTGCTGCACACACAGGCAGACTCTGAAAACTGATGGCAAGGAATTATTCAGGGTGCAGAAGAACAATGTAGAGAGTCAAAACAAAAGGGTGTGATTACACGGGTTCCCACTGTAGGTAAGGGAGGCTCAATCCCACTCAGACCCTTCCAGGAACCATGCCTCAAGGACTCTTCTCTTCTGTCTCTAAAGTGAGTAGTGACTGACCGGCTTTCACTCTCTGGTGAAGAGCAGACCCGTGGAGCATAACACCCTGTCCTTTCAGGTTGTGGTGGAAGTGAATGAATAAATGAAAGAGAGGAGCCAGGGAGTTTTGAGAGAGAAATTAAGAAGTACATAAGGTAAGTGGTGTGAGTGATTTAAAATGAAACCTGTGCAAATATGGTTATTAAAACAATGCTAGAACAAATGGTTAGAGCACCACTACATAACTAAAAGCAAACAATAAAGCACTGATTACCTGCAAGACATTCAACCACACTGCCAATCACCCAGGCTTCTTCCTTGTGCCGCTGAATACTCTCAAGAATCTGCTCTGCTAGATCCTTGGATACCACGAGGGCGGCCCCTATCCCACAGTTAAATGTTCTGGCCATCTCTTCTTCAGAAAGATTCCCTTGATGCTGCAACCATGAGAAGATCCGGGGGATCTTCCAGGCCCGGGCATCTGCAAATAGGTATGAGCTGTTTGACTAACTGCTGTCTCAGGGTATAAAAACAGTCACATATATAAAGCTGGAGATACTGTAACTGGGAACTACTATGTTAAGTAGTATAAAATTTTGTATTCACAAAAATTTTGTGCTGTATTCATTAGCTCTAGGTGCATAGAAACTTCTTAGTATTCTCCCTAAAGAATCAGATGTGCCTACCCGTAGCTGAATTCCAGCAATGGTACATCTCTCGCTGTTTTTTTAAGGAAAACAAGGGAAAAAGGCTTAAGGCAGTAGGAGGATAGGTGGGCCATGCAAAAAAGTTAAGTTGAAAAGAAGGAAGAGGGAAGAGTGGGAAGAACTCCTGGAAAGACTGGGTCAAAGCAGATCTTACAGCACAATGCCAGCAGAAAAGGAGAATAAGAGTGACTTAAGTACATACATCACTCTTTTATCAATTTTTAGTTGAGTCTTAAGCAATGTCCAAAACGCATCCCAAGTCTGGTGCAAGACAAGTGTTATTACTCACCTGTGACCTTCTGACTCACAGTGACTCAATGTACAACAGAAAGAAATACTGACTAGTTTGAGGCTATCCAGATGACCAGTTATGGATTAAACTGCTGTGACCCATGAACGATTTATTAGCTGACTTTTGCAAGTAGTTTATTAAGTAAGCTTGATAATCGGTTACCTTATTTGGCATATCTGCAAAATAATCTGTTTTTTTTTTAATGGTCTTTTTTTTTCTTCTTTTTTTATTAATTTTAATAGACATTTACAGAGGTTACGGATTTCCATTCATTCACTGCCGCACTTTCCTCCCTGTCCACGTTTCCCCACCAGTTCGCTCACCTCAAAAATAATCTGTTTTGTAAAGCTCTGGAGTTGAAACAATTTTCTTAAATCTTTAGGCCAATTAAATAATATTTTCCACCACCAGATTTAACTCCATTTTTACTAGCTAAAAAAAAATGTTCATTCTTAAAAGATTAGGTCAAATGATTTGGCTACTCCAATTTTCTCTGTGTTATCAACCTGAACATCAAACACCATCAGCAAGGACTTGCTTCTTTCTCACTGACCTACTTTACCAAGCATGATGTTTTTACTCCATGGACTGGGGCCTCTTGATTTTATGTCCAAGGTATGTATGTAGGAGGATCTAACTATCTTTGCTTCTGAAGAATATAATGGCTGTACTTCTTTCTAGAGAGATTTGATCGTTCTTCTGATAGCCTATGGGATAGTTAATATTTTTCGTCAATGAAATAAGTCAAAAGCATCAATTCTTTGCTGGTTTTTCCTCAATGTCCACTTTTTTCACACCCATGACGCAACTGGAAATATCATGGTTTGGGGTCAGGCACAATTTAAATATCACAGTGATTATTTTTGCTTCTTAACACTTTAACAGTAGACTTGCCCAATGCAACATGTCATTTGATTTCCTGACTCCTGCCTTCCATGGGTGTTTGTGCATCCAGGTAAAATAAAATCCATGACAAGTTCATACATTTCTCTGTTTATGTAATGCTGCTTATAGGTCCAGTTGTAATAGTCTTTGAAGTGCTTCAAGTCTTATTTTCAGATAGCAAGACTGTATCATGTGATTAGAGTAGGGTTAAAGATTCAATAAAATAGTAACAAAAACCTCCAAAAGTGGCTTTTGGGAATATGACTTTATCAGGTCTCAACCTCCTTACAAAGTGATCCTGGTGACGTAGCTGTGTGCTGGAGCGAGCCAGTAACAGCTATTATTCAACTGGCTGAGGCTGGTGTGCACTTACTCCACAAGAATTGGTAATGCTATAAAAAAAGTCTTTGCCTCTTATTTATCATTATGCTAGTATTTTTTAAAAAGTACTTCAAGATTTTTTATAGTATTTTTAAAGCGATAAAGATTCTTAAAGGTTTTTATGCTTAACATACTTTTCTAACCAGCCAAGTGTCTCCTCCCATCTGCAGTTAGATCAACCCAGAGTGTCCCCCCTCCCCCCCGTTCTATCAGTCAGGCTCCCATCTGCTCAGACTACCTTGTCCGTTTCCTCAACACCACTGACTAAGTGTGCCACACTTTCAAGTTTCCAGATCTTCAACAGGAGGATTTTGTTCATCTCTTTTCCTGAGAAGAGTCTAGTGGATTTAAACCACTGGTTTTACTTAGCAGTGCAGTATGTTATATACTACATTTCCAGGACTCTGTGGTTAGGCCATTCAGATCTACACACCTACACCTAACTGTTCCTCCCCCAGTATCTGCTTACCGAGAAAACGTACTTCAGGTAAAATGCCTCAGTTTTTGTACACTGATTGAGTCTGATACCTGGAGTATCTCAGTCTTTCTTCAGCTTTATAAAAGCAACTGGGAAGGACCTGACCTTTACCTTTGCCACATGCTTATAATTTTCCTTTCCCTCTTCCCACTAAGTTTTGTATAACAAAACTGCATACTCCTGTCTTTACAACTCTGCCAGCCATTCTCCCTCACAATCATGTGGTGGGTGCTATCTGCCTCATACCATGTTTGGTTTTTTTTCTCCCCCACGTTAATTCATCTCTTCATAGATTTTTTCAAGTTAACTGACCTCAAACTTACCTTGGTTCTGCATTGCTAACCTGTGCCATCTTGAAATCTTCCCCTCGATTTTGACTGTTCTTATCTATAGTTGTACTTCTTTCTACACCTTAAGGTTGACAGATTACACAAGAACAGCCTTCTGGTCCCCACCATGTTCTTGCTGCACCTATTTATCTGTATCTATGATTATTTAAGGATTTTTCAGGCTGAATTTTACTTCTGCTCACAGACAACTGGGAATAAAGAATTTAAGTTAAAACAGTACTCTAATTTGTAATTGCCAATGTATTTTTCTTATGCCATCTATCTTGGTCAAATGAGTTAGCTTTCTTTTTCTTGATACTCATGTGTACAATCATTCTCAATTCTGTTACCATATATATACTTTTGCCTTGTCCAACTTACTTCATCTTCAGTGAAGTCAATTAGATTTTAGCACACAATGCATTTTTTGTCTAACAATTTTCTGAACCAAAGTTCCTTTTAATGATCTTACCTAAATCCACTCCAAATTTCTGAGGGAGGACCCTGGGAATGTTTTCTAGCAATCCACCTCCAGTAATGTGGGCATAGGCCTTGACATGTCCTGAACGTAGGACAGGTAATAGTGTCTGGCTATAGATTCTGGTTGGAGTTAGAAGTAATTGCCCTGTAGGAGATGAAACAAAGATGACTGTAAAATTAAGCCCTAACATACAAAACAGTTCTGAAATGAAGATATATTGTATCTTCCACAGAAACAGTGTAAAATTAAGCCCCAACATATAAGAGTTCCGAAATGAAGATATATCGTATCTTCCACAGAAATAGTAGTATAGGCAACAATATCACTGGTTAAGTCATTGCACTGCAGTTTTAAATAACCTGAACATCAAATATGACACTACGAGTTGTACTCGACTCAATGGAGCCTAACAACAAGAAGAACAAGAACAACAACAATACTCCACTAAGTTGTCTCTCAGACATTTCCAAGCAGGAGAGTTTACCTAAAGTCTGGTCACCACATCCATCAGGTGCTGGAGAGGAATAATGGAGGGAAGATTTTTCCACAATTTTTCTCACAAGACTAAATCCATTACTATGGAGACCAGACGAAGCTACCCCGATAACCACATCCCCTTCCATGATTTTGTCCAAGTGAGGAAGTTTCTGATCCCGTTCCACAGCACCGACAGCAAAACCAGCTAAGTCATACTCTCCAGGAGGATACATGTCAGGCATCTCGGCAGTTTCACCGCCTGTTAAGAGGACGAGCACAAAGATATGGTGTAATACTTACAAACTTGCGTGGAAATTGTGACACTGACTATTCTCAACATAAACATTACAAAGTATATATAATACATTCTTTAAAAAAGCTAATGAAACTACTAGCCATCTAACTGGAGTTCTGATGAACAAGTATATATAATTTCAGGGAAAACAGCATCAATTTCTATAAAGCATAAGATAAAGTAGTATTTCTGCAAGTATATGGATAGCTGCCAAACAACATTACTGTCTTAAGAGGAATACTGAGCAGAACATGACATCACTAGCCACTAAACATCACCACTTTCACAGGAGGAACAGAGTTAAACATGATGTCTTCTATAGCAATTTAGGTTCATATATAGTTGATCTTTACACTCACTCTAGTTCCCAGATAATTCTAAAGGGTAAACACATTATAAAGATATGGGCAGATAGATTTCAAATTAGAAATTATGTTCTAGAAAAGAGATGAGAAGGTACTATTTTATTTTGGGCAGACTTGTCCACAGAAATGGTAATAAAGAGATATTTCCTATTTATATGGAATCAAACTGACCAAAGTGCCTTGAATGCTCTGAGAGGAAACTACGAGGGCATATATGGTAATGGGAGAGGAATAAGGCAGAAAAAAGGTGAGAATCATGGCACAACAGAAGAACATAATCAACATATGTACAAATTGAATTGGTATATGTTCTACAGTATGAATGCTGAAACTCCCTGCTCCCCAAATTTAAGTAAATTTCTTGGCCAACCTACAGATTAATAATGCCATATATGACTTAAGGAGTAAAGCTTGAGTAAGCATTCTTGCCGAAGATAAGAAAAAAATTAATCTGACAGTAAGAGTTTATTGGTCAAGAGACTAGGCCTCAAGAAGGGGTTTGAGGACATGAAGTTCTAAGTTTTGTATAGCTATTATGATCTACATTTTGAGAACTCTGGTGGCTGAGTATTAAGCTGCACTGCCAACTCAAAGGCACCCGGTTCAAATCCACCAGCTGCTTTGGGAAGAAAGCTGAGCAAACTTTTTTCATGTGATTTACTGCCTCTGAAAACTTGCTTGAGAATAAACTATGAGTTGCTTCTGGTACAACAATAAGTAGTAACAAAATCTACTTTTTAGTGCCTCATCTTATAATGCAGTCTCATATCTATGCAAAATACATTAAAAAGAAGGGCATGTGATTATAAAACAGGTGAAAGTACCAAGGAGAGCACATCCAGCTTTTCCACAAGCTTTAGCGATACCAGCAACAACTGCCTCCGTTACATCGAGGTTGAGTTTTCCACAGGAAAAGTAGTCAAGGAAGAAGAGGGGCTCTGCTCCTTGTGCCAGAATGTCATTTACACACATTGCAACCAGATCTTGACCAACAGTATCATGTTTATTGCACAACTGGGCAATCTATAGGAGAACAATAGAAACTGTCACACAAGAGAATAAGCTCCAAATTGTACCATGAAAAATTTCTCAACGGAGTCTTAAGAACATCTGTCACTTTTGGTTAGTAGTTTTAGTATCAAAAGACCAAAGAACATGAAAAATAAAGCCAGGTGCTGACGAGTCGATTCTGACTCACGGTGAACCCAAGAACTTTTGTGTCGAAAATTCTCAACAGGATTATCAGGAATGTGTCCTTTCAAAAGGCTATCACTATATCTTTTCATTCAAGGCAATTCTGAGAAGGCTTGAATTGTCGTAACTGTTTGTCACACAGCAATATTACAAAGAATGTTAAATCCTGACAATCTACTTGGCTCTAAAACATCCCTCCATTCAGTAATAATATGGTTGGCAGAAATGTACACAAGTTATTTCAATGGCATTACATTGTTATTTGGTATCTATTTGATAGACAGTTCTCTCTTTATTTTTCACAAAGATATATTACCTTTAGTTTAGTTCCAACACCATCTGTCCCTGAGGCCAGAAGAGGATCTTTGAAACCAGCTGCTTTCAAATCAAAAAGACCAGCAAAACCACCAAGATCAACTTCACAGCCTATTGGAGAGGAAATTAGTTACATGTTAGCAGAATAGTTAAATGCAAATATAATACTTGTTAAGATCGATTAAAACAAAGTGTGTTGTTCTTGACAAGGGCTAAAAAAAAAGCATCACTTAAGAACTGATGAAGGGAGAAATGAAATAGAATTGATCAAGAGAGTATTTCTTTGAATTTAACATGAGTAATAAATATTTTCATTATTATGGACAAGAATGGAAGACTGCTGGCTTGGCCTAAGTAAGTGAGAAATCATTATTAAATATTATCGTTAATATTACAGAAACAAAGATTCTCACGACTGGGCCGACTGGCAGTATCATGATAGATGGTGAAGAGATTGAGACTGCTAAAAGCTTTAGCTTGCTTGGTTCCACAGTCAACACTCTTGGTACAGAGCCAGCAAATCAAAAGATGAATTGCACTGGGAAAGTCTGCTGTTAAGGACATCTCCAGAGTACTGAAGAGCAATGATGTCTGTCTAGAGACTAAGGTGTGCCTGGCCCAAGCCATGGTCTTCTCAATTATGTGCTCTGCATCAGAAATCTAGACAGTGACTGGGGATGACAGGAGAATTGATGCCTCTAAGCTGTGGTGCTGGAGAATGTACCATGGACTGCTAGGAAAAAACCCTAGGTTCCTCCTGAAGAGGTGAAACCAGGTTGCTCCTTGGAGGCAAGGATTCTGAAGCTCTGACACACATTTGGCATGTTTCATGGAGGGAGCAGTCCTTTGAGAGGAACATTATGCTTGGGAGAGTGGAGGGACAATGCAAAAGACGAAGATTGTAGATGAGATAGATTCAGTGACTGGGGTAATAGGGTTAAGTGAGTCAGGGTTCCAAGCTGCTGTACACAGGGTTGCTATGAGTCATGGGCAACTTGATGGCACAAAATAATCTTAGAGACTAGAAAGCAAGACTGAGTTTGACTTAAGTACGTCACAGTTAATTTACTGGTACTGGGAGAGTAGGGTACTCCTCTAACAGATACCTAAAACATAAAAACAGATACCTAAGACATAAAAGTGCTTTTGAATTGACTATTGAATAAAAAGCAGGTTTCAGGGCTATTGTACATAGGGTTGCTACGAATTGCAAGTGACACGATGGCACATAACTACAACAATAACTGGATAAAAGATGAAATAGTACTTAACAGATTGCCTTGAAGATATGTTGGTAAAACTGGATGTCAAAACCAATTCTGGAATGGGCTCCAAAAGAAGAGAGCCCTAATAATAGAAACAGTACTGTGGTACAGAAAAGACACAGGTAGAGCAGAACCAGAAGACTGGTTTAAGTTTGCACAGGAAATAGACAACCCAGAGTGCATGGAGCAAAGAAAGTGGAATGTCTTCAAGCAGGCATCATGACAATGGGGTCACTGGATACTTATTGGTGAGAGAGCTGAGCATATGTAGGCTTAATGGCAGTAGGGATAAGAAAAACTCAAAGGTCTCCTAACACTTTCCCAAGTATTGCAGAGGGGTTGAGAGGTCAAGAGCCAGAAGCTGGAGACAGGAATAGGAGAGTTACTACAAAGCTCCTGAGGTCTCAAAGGGTGAGGCCATATCCTTCAAGGCAGAGCTCAAATCCAGGGCTGAGGAGCCTGCACCTGGAATTGGGAAGGCATTGTACATTCGGAGTCTAGAACTAAGTGACACTGCCAAGATGGTCTCTGAGAACATAGGATTATTTTTGAGAGCCAGTATAAATGGTCTTGGTAGATCTTTCACTTGTCTGGCACTTAATCTCACTTCCTGCATTCCAGTTTATCCTATTTGAAAATGAAATGTCCACTGTGTGCTTGGTTCTACCACTGTACTCTGCAAGCAGGTAACTTTCATTCTAGAGTCAAAGAATAGAAACTTTGCCCTGGGATGGAATTCAAACTTTAGGGGATATGAGGTGATAAATATTTTTGATAATGTGGCAAGGATATAAATTTTGGTGGGTCAAAGGATGGAATGACAACAGCTCAAACTGTGTTCTCCCCAAATACATGCTAGCATGGGTAGGCTATGATTTCCAGTATTGTGTGAATACATCCACATTTTGTGATAAATCTTAACTTCTATGAGTTTATTGCTTACAAAAGCTGAGGGTCAGCAAAAGAGAAGACAAGACCTCCATCTAGGTGGATTGAGAGAGTGAAACAATGGGTAGACACTAAAACTAGGGTAAGATTTCAATCTTGTTCAGTGTTGCTGAGTTATAGTTGACCAAATGCCATTATACCTCTAATGAGGAAAGATTGTTGTTGTTGTTTAATGCCGTCGAGTCATAGACAACTCATAGCGACCCTATGAACGAACAGCCTGAGCACTGTTTGTACATAGAGTTTCCGGAGGCAAGCCATTTCGGAAGTGGATGCCGCTCCTGCTTCCAGGCTTGATTTAGTCGGGAAGCTCCAGCCAACACTGTCCACTATGGGTGCCCATTACCACGAATGGCACATCACTGTCACAGGCTTCAGCATCACAGCAACCACGAGTTACCTCTGTACAGCAACGCACAGACCAGTGCTATACCACCTTTTGGGCTGTCTATAAAATCCCATCCCAGGAGACACTCAGTAAACATTATCACTGTGCCTTCTACTAGTAATCTTTACTTTTCTAATTTACCACCATCTTATTTGCACCACTTGAAGAAGTCAGGGAAGAAAATTGTATATTGAGTCTATATATGCTGAGTAACTATTCCTCATTTCTTTGGAAATAAAACCAAAAACTTAAAAATTATTTTTATACTGCTTTATTGGCTACAAAGGAAATATACACAATTTCATTTACTCATGACTGTGAGGGTCTGTATCCTCTGCAGAAGACAAAAATCTTTTCCAAGACCAATTATACTAATGTGATAAGGTACAATATGTAAGATTAGGAGGCATTTTTAGGTCCATTCTTTTGGACCCTCAGTTTTTGCAAGGAGAATCTTCTAGACTTAGGAAATTACTGATTTCAAGATACATGGGGATCTCTGGTGCTTAGTCCACAGAAGTTGAAGTGAGACCAAGGACTTTCCCTCAGAGTGACAGAGAAAGCTTTCCCTAAAGTTGATGTCTTGAATTTTATGTTATACATGTGTGATGTTTCTATTATGTTAGCATTAGATGACTAAGCTAGAATTTATATTTGGAAAATTTCCTTTCAATACAAAGTCTCTTCATTACCCAGTCTGGAGGTGGCTTTTGCTAGAGGTTTAATTTTCTTGACCAGCATATTGCCAGCTGCAATATCCACACCAGCTTCCTTGTAGGTCAGACCTCTAAAGACACAAACAAAAAAAAAAACACCCTACTATCACTTAAGTATCAGGGGAAAACTATTCTAATACAGTACTTAAAGTAGAAGATAATCCAAGTGGTTTTCAAATTTCTTATGAGTCATAAAACCACCAAGATACAAGTAATACTTTTAATATTGGCAGAGATTTAATTGTTGAAGGGCAGGTCCTGGGATCTGAAACATGATTAAAACTATTGGTCCAAGAAACAAAAACAAAAAAACAAACCAAAACTAAAATATTAGACATTAGCTAGCTAAAAAAATAACAATAATAAAAAAAAATTGTCCCATTGGTTGCATTGTACCATCATGAAAAACAAAAATTAACTTACTCAACTAATGTTTTCTAAAGAATGTACCACTGACAGTTAAATAAGCTAGTATTTTGCCACAATCTTCTCTCATCAAATGTGACATGAAGGGGACAAAAAAGTGACAAAATCAAGATAAAAAGTGAAAATTAGGATTATAGAATATCTATTAATATACATTTCCATATAGCTGGTGATAGTAGAAAATTATGATCAGTTATTGCTATCCAATGCATTATTCCACTTGATATTACAGAGTCATCACATGTGAATGGTGGTCAAGTTCATAAATAACTATGAATTCAATTTGGTCTTGTAAAAAAGAACAATTTTAGTTTACTAGGATGCATGGATAAAGAAAATGTCTTATCAATGTAAATACTACTCAAGATGTTCTTAATGAGTAACAGTAAATGAGATTTCTTCTGAAAAAGAAAAATTAAAAACAGCACATTTGGAATGAACAACTTTTATTGATTTTCACAAGAAAATAACTATACATACGAATAAATGAATCAATAAAGGGTCAAAAAAATACATCTAAAATAGGTAGTCCCCAAACTAAGCCACCATAATATAAAACAACCAAGTTACAAATGTTAAATGAACAAAATGATCATCTTGAATTCTTTAGACAATATCCAGGAAGCACAATTTAAACTTCAATAGTATCACGAGAGAAATAAAAACCCTTAATAATGTGATTTAGCTAAACTTTTCAGATACCACGAAACATTCTATTTTACTTGAATACTTAAAGCAGTTTTGGTTCAAAATAAAAATAAAGAAAGTAAAACAGGAAAAGATAGTATCAATATAGAGTTTTCTATATGACCATTTAGATCAGCTCAACAATTGTGCTTTCATTAGGTCAGGAAGAGAACTTTACCTGGACTGCTGGAAGAAAGTGATGGCACGATGGCCAATGTCCTTCCTATAAATGGCTCCTTCAAATTTTATTGCAGCCAGCCCCTTCTTGGCTTCTTCGAGTGCTGACAAGAGATTTTCCCTGATGGCTGTTACTGTAAGGACTCTACCTCCACTAGTCACCACTTTGCCATCTTTCAGGGCAGTGCCTGCTTGGAAGACCTCCAATCCCAAACCCTGAGCCTCAGGAACCCCTGTTAAGAGAGCATATTTGACCTGTAATTCCAAATCTCAGTATTTTACACTTGTGACTTTTAACTTTTTTGAAGTTCCTTTTAAAAATCTTTTCTCATTTAAGCCTACCTTCATAGGAAACTGATAAACCATGAGTTAATGTAAAATCCAAACCAAACCTATTTGTCGAAATCCAACTCACAGAGCAGTGAAGACCTGCCCCACAGGGCTTTCAGGGTAGTAAACCGCTACACCTTTCTCCTGAGGAGCAGCTGATTCCTGTGATCAGTCAGTGGCCAAGCATTTAACCATTGCACCACCAGGGTTCTTGGAATGAATAGACTCCATTCCACTAGAGTAAAGCTTCCTTGGGTTTCTGAGACTCTAGATGAGGCTATCCGTCTCTCTGCCACTGGGTTACAACTGCTGGAGATGCTGGGATAGCAGCACATGTTCAAACTCTGTTCTGCTTTAAGGCAATAACAGCTTTCTGCTCTACGGTGATAACTTCTAAAAATTTATAACCAATTCCAACATGAAAATGATGGTTTCAATGAAGGAGAAAAAATATGAACAAATTAAGGCCTAGGAAATCTGACACTTAAAAACATGAGTTATTTTTTCCTCACAAAAATATAAGGAAAAAACCCCCTTCTTTTTTTATACATGAGTTGGTTTCTGACTCGACAGTATAGAACAACATCAACTACATTCAAAGTCATGCAACATGAAGCCTTGCCTGACTGGAAAGGATGCTGGTTCTATCCCTTCTTCTGTTGTCTGCTTTTAAAAGCCATCTAAATATTGCCAGTGTCCATGTGTGGGATTCCTAAGATAATATTTGATGTCTTGGCAAGTAATGCATTTGCTAACAATGGAGATTACGCTTCAGCCTGTTAGGTTCATACATTAAGGTCTCCTTTTGGAATTTGATTGGCATTCAAAGCCAGAGACTAATTTGACATGATCTACCTAGATTCCTCATCATTTACCATCATCATAAAGAGATGGCTATTCCTGAGGCAAAGGAAGAAAAAAATACCACCAAAAACAACAATAAAAACTACCACCCCCACAACAAGCTCTAGTGGAACAATGGTACAGTGCTTGGCTGTAATCAAACATTGGCAGTTCGAACACACCTGTAGCTCTGTGTGCATACCCAAAGACCTGGTGATCTGCTCCTGCAAAGATTATGCCAGGGGAACTCTAAAGGTAGTCCACTCTATTCTGAAGGGTTACGATGAGTAAAAATGGACTCAACAGCACCACAACAAGGTAATGATTAATTCTGTCATTCAAGTGACTATTGTGTGCATTGCAAATTGAGGAGCAGAATGGAGAAGGAGGGTTGAGATATTTTTTATGAATGTTACATTCATACTCCTCTGGCTATCATCCACTGCTATTAACTCCCCAGTTCTGTGTGGGAGGAGGTAGAAGGCCACACAGAGTGATTTTTGTCAAAGAATGGTGAAGCTCCCTCAGGCCTTCTATGTGCAAAAAAGGAAACAGATAGCTACAAAGCAGTAATCTTGGATATTTTGTAAGTATCCTTAAAAGGCCTGGCTGGCTTCACTTCACACCCTCATAGCAGAACACAGCGAGAGCCCTGGGGAGGGGCAGGAGGAGGGGAGCAGGCTTCGTTTATCCCCTTTGCCTCCTGGCTATTCTTGCTCACCTGTGATCTCCACGCCTGTAGTGTAGTCCCCAGGATAACCTTTACTTGCCATGACCACAGTGACGGCAGCATGGTTTTCTAGCCAAACAGGCAGTGCTGTGCACAGCTGGCTATCTAAGGTGGACTGGATCACGTCATAGAGATCGCTTTTAAGAAGTGGAAGGATGACCTGGGTAATGAAAATCAACATGGTACTGGAGAAGAAGGTCAATTTTCCTTAAATAATATATTTACTGAAGTACTAGCAGAAATTACACATACTTCTCAAAGTAATTATTTTCAAGTAAATAAATTCTGAAATAAAAGCAAGCTTCTGCCCCCATTCTATAAACCTTTTATTATATTCTGCCCTTTTAATTAAATACAACATGAGTGTTACCCACTTGGCACTCTGGGTCACCAAAACGACAATTAAACTCCAGAACCTTGGGGCCATCCTGGGTCAGCATTATACCAGCATAGAGAACACCTTAAGTAAAAAAATAAAAGGAAATGTATGATAAAGACAATGTATTTGACTATGAAGCCTAGAATTAAAAACAATTGACAACAAAACATTAAGTCCCACAGAAATACCCCTGCCCATCACTGCCATTAATTCAGAAGTAAATCACTGTTGACCCTCCAGGATGTTTTCAGAGGCTGTAAACCGCATGGGTAAGGTAGCTCATCTTTCACCTGGTGGATCTGAACCGTCTTTGGGTTGACAGTGTTGAATCCTTACCCGCAAAGCCACCACAACAAATATTTTAACAATGGTCAGTTAAAAGATGATGAAAAGGGAAAATGTTAAGAGGCATGTAATTTACTCTATAAAGAATGCCCATAATATCAAAGTAGTCACCTCTGTATGGAATATCCTCCTGCTGCATGCCATCCACTGTTCTCTGAAGAATGGTATTCTTAATTTTTAGTAACAAATCTTTAGAAACCTGGGAACATAGAAAACATGTAAACGAAACAGACATTTGAAAACAGAACAAGCAACAACCCATCTTAAATAGTATCCTATGGAACAATCAAAGGGGAAGCCAAAATGAAAACTCTGCCACCCAGCTGGATCTGACCTTCAACGAGCTTTCAGAAGCTGCAATGAAATAGACTGTCCATCATTTACTGACTCCCTGAGCTAAGCTGAGCACTTCAAATGAACAAACTTTGGCAGCGAAGGGTTGGGGAGTTCCCTCTTACCTCAATTCAGTGTATTCTTTATATACATCCAATATGTTCTATATATAGCTCAAACGTGTATCTATTCAAGAATCTGAGTTTACAAATCTAACTGCCAAAATGAAACTCATCGATAGTTCTCGTGTTAAAGCTATTACTAGTAATTGGTACTTTCAATATTTAAAGTCTTAAAAAAAACAAACTCAAACCAGTTATGTAAGGTCTTGTTTTTAACTTTTTCATTAATAACCATTACCTTAAAATTATCTAAATGTTATTAGCATAAATGAGCATAGTACATGATTAATGAAAAGAAAGGGTACATTTCAAAATCCTAATATGACTAAGCAATGCAGGTGTTTCTGCTTTGGAAATGTTTAGAAGTATACGTCCATTAAGCAGCTCTAGGGGCTTAGTGGTAAGTGCCAGCCTAAAGGTAGTGACTAAAACCGACCAGGGGCTCAGTGGGGGAATAATGGGTAATCTGTCTATGTGGTTAAACCACCTCTGAAAACACGCTGAGGGGGTCAGCTGTGGGTTGGTTCCCACTAGAAGGTACAAAACAGCAACAAATAGCCTTTTTGAGTAACAGAGCAGAAGAGTAAGTTCCATCGGGCTTATTTTTCAATTCATACTTCTTCCTCACACGCACAGGCTTATTAAACACTCAAGATTTGGCTCTATATTTAGTAGCTATTAAGAGATTACTTACAGATTGACAAATGATAGTTTTAGACTGTAACAGGCTCCTATGGATTAAATGCAGTTTAGGAAAGAGGGATTAAGAGGATCTCTTAAACCAAAGTAAGAAAGAACTAAACTCTATCAAAAGCTTTTATATACTTTATAAACATGCAGGAAAAAAAAGCATGAACTAGGAGCTCTCTGAGAAGTACCTGAGGTGCTGGACAATAGGCTCCCATGCCCCCTGTATTAGGGCCGAGATCTCCCTCCAGCAATCGCTTATGGTCCTGAGCTGGGGGCATCGGGGCCACAGTTCTTCCATCTGTGAAACACAGACACTACAGAGAAAATAAAATACTTGATTAGGTAAAACACCAGAAAAAACTAAAACAAAACTTTTATAGATTAACAAAATCGTTTCTCCTAAAACAAACCAACCTACAAACCCCCAAAAACCCAACAAACACAAACAATGTAATTTAGAAGCTATGTATTGATCTCCCATAATCTGATAAATCAGTAAATCAATCCTCAAAGAGGATTAGAGGTGGATTATATGGAGTTTGATTAAGAAGCTATAAGGAATGTTTCCTTAGGTGTGGCCTCATCAAAAAACTAAACTCAATGTCATTGAGTTGACTGCTGATTCAAAGCAATCCTAAAGCTTAAAAGTAGACTAGGATGAGGAAACTCATCCTTTTCCCAGGTGGATCTGAACTGCCCACTAAAATGAGCAAATGAGCAGTACAGAGGTGCAACAAGCTTCATAATCAGCCACCAAAGCTCTCTGATAAAGGGTGTCACTTTTAACACCTTTTGTTATTGTTGATTGCTCTCCAGTGGAGCACTCAGGACTCCAAGTGATCCTATGAACAAAAGACCTGAAGCCTTTCTAGAACTATTATTTCTCAAAGTTCATAGTTTCCAGAGGCATGTTGTTTGGGAAATGGATACCACTCCTGCTTCTAATTTAACACTTTTTATCTCCACAGATAAAAAAATAGGAGAAAAGCTAGCCCAGAGAAGACCCTCAGCACCAGCAGAGAGATTAGACAGGAGTGGAGGTGAGTCCTTTAGGACTCAGGCTTTTTTCTCAGAGCTGGTTTCCTGAACTGAGACCTCTAACCTCTCTAAGCATAAAACAACAAATTTATCTTTGTTAAAGCCATTCACTTGGGATATGTTACAGCAGCAATAAATAAATACGACAGTTACAAAGACAAACTATTTACAGGAACTTTTCTTAACAACAACAACAAAAATCTCTATGCCAAGAATAAGGGAAAAACTAAGCTAGTTTTAAAATAAAATACTTCAATTTTAAGCTTCTTGGCATTACAATTTTATGGCGGGTACGTTTATTTCACTACTCACTGAGTAGGACACTACGTGAAGCAAAAAATCATGAATGTTTGAATTAATCCGAAACTTGAAATAACGTATGATCTAGGTATATTTGTCACAACTGCATAGGAGGAAAGATTAAGGGCGTAGTTTATTTAGGTACTCAAGGGGAGATAGAAGAAAATGAAAAAGAGGACTATACATACAGATACTTCTTCTCCTTCAAGAAGTTCTTCAATGACAACTGTTTCTCCAGCTGCTCCAAAAGCTTTGTCCTAGTTGAACATTTTAAGAATAAATGGCCAATTTCTAAGCACTGATTATTTAGTAGCTTAATTTTGTCATTCTCTACCATTGGCATTATGAAAACAAGGCACTGGTACTTGTTTGTTATTAATAATTGGGCCCAGTAGAAAGGAGCTGCCCTGCCAACAAAAGGGAGGTGCTTCAAATATACCAGCTGCTCTACAAAAAACAGATGGGCAATCTCCTCTTGTATGATTTACAGTTTCTGAAAGCCCACAAGAAGGTCGGCCGTGAGTTGGTGCTGACTTGACAGCACATTAACAGGCCTTGGAAAATAGATTTGCACGAGGGAACACCCCCTCCCCACCCCCCACGGACTATAAAAGAAAAGCAAATCTTCACAACATCCCACTCGGTAGGCCACCAGGGACAGCTCCTTTTACATCCCTTAGACTGGGAAACATAGGACAAACAGTTTTTTCCTCATGGCTGATCTGAAAATGTACTTAAATAAATGCTCTCTCCTTTGAGCATCTTCTGTCCTTTAGCAGCAGACAATAAAGGATGTTAGAAGATATTTCAAAGAATTGAGACAGAGTTAGTCACCAATGTAGATCCATGCAGAACAGATTAGAAGACCTATTGTAATGAAAAGTTACTTGTGTTTTTATTAAGTGGTCACTAACCCACCCATCACCATCCTGAGAAATACTTTTTTTTGTTAGATGCTGTCAGGGTGACTACGACCCACAGTGATTTTATGAAGTATAGATAGGAACTTTGCTCTATTCTGCTGAAGAACATTTACAGTATTTACTTATTAATGTATGGGTTATTAAAAACAAACAAACAAAAAAGGATATGGGTTATGTAGAATACTTAAGTGTTTAGAAACCAAAGTTTTAAAGTAGAAAAGTAGTTACTAGGGACATGTGAAAGGGAAGGGGGGAAGAACACATTAGTCATTGCTTAGCAGACATATTCCTGAATTGTACACATAACAATTATTAAAACAGCAAATGTATTATTATGTATACAAGAAAAATGTATTTATGCAGGGTGAATTAAATAAAACCAACAACCGTGAAACTTCCAGAAGAACCAACACACCTGCATGATCTCCCGTACAGCTCTGCACGCCTCTTCTTTGCTCTTTGCAACAATCACCCCTTTCCCAGCAGCAAGACCACTAGCTTTCACAACCAAAGCAGGGAAGTCTGCACTGTGGGGACAGGTTAAAGTTAAGAGATCTTGACAATGATAATTTAAAAAATGCTTTGGGGTGCTTATAATGGTATGTAATAGCAACAACTCTAGTATAATACTGATATATTTTCCCACCAGGATTTTTTTTCCCCTATGCATTTCTTCATAGTTAAGAACGAAATACTACATTTGCTTTTTTCACTTATTATGTTATTATACTGAACTTTTCTATCATGGAAAAAATATCTTTGTTAAGAGTAAAGTAGATGTACAAACTGAATCTGGAAAGAGCGTTAAAATACAAACTAGTAATTTCTATTAGCTCAGAAAATGTATTGACAAATATACAAGCTTATAGACACAGAACACCTGTTGAAATCCTCAAGCTGCTACTTAATTTCTCTTCTAGTCAGACTGGGGATCTAGAGAGTGAAACCCAGGGCATGTAGATATAATAGATATAATGTAGACTCCTCAAAAGAAAGGAGTTGATTCAAATAAAGTATGGGGTGGGGCGGGGTTGGAGGGGGGAAGACCCAAAACAACAATTTACTTTGTTCAATGTTTTTAATATTAGAAAACAAACATTTTAAATTTTTTTATATTTTACTTAAAGTTCATAAAAAACTTAGATTTCTGTTCATTCATTTATGCAGAATTTTTAAGATTTAAGCTTATAGTTGTAGCAGCAAAAGAGCAAACAGATAATTATTTACTCTTGTTAATTATTTATGCCAAAATCCAACACTGCTTGTATTTTTTTTTTTCACTGCTTGTATTTTAAGATGTCCCTGTATTTGATGACTTGACTGTGGAAAAAACGGCAGTATTCAGGAACCACAAAAGGGCAACTTACTTAACATTGATTTGTTTTCTTATTTTTTTTTTAAAGGAGTCAAAAGTTTACAAAGTAGATTAATTTCCTATACAACCTTTCATACATTTTGCTTTCTAACATCTATTACATTTACTCCCAGTTTAACTACACTCACCCCATTTCGTCCCTATAATTCTCATTTTCGTTGGTATTTCTATCCTACCCCAACCTCCCTTTGAGGCCTATTCCTGGGGTCCTCCCAAATGTTATTTACCCTAAGAATCTGTCATTTACGTTTGAACATAAACACAATCCATGTGTCTAAATACATGATAAAATAATGCATTATGTAGAAAGGCTTCTGAGAGCACTGGTGGCTTAGTGGTAAGGCATTATGCTGCAAAATCAAAGGCACATGGTTTGAATCCACCAGCTGCTCTGTGGAAGAAAGATGGGCAATCTCCTCCCATGTGATTTACTGCCTCTGAAAACTGCTGCAGGCCAGCTGACTCTAAAGTACACAAAAACAACAGGCAAGACTTCAACCTACCTCATGATGAAGCTGCAGGCTTCCTCAGGTTTGGTGAAAGCTCTCCATTTGGCAGTTGGTATTCCATGTCTATCCATAAACTCTTTGGCAAATCTTTTGCTGGATTCTAACTGAGCTGCTTCTGATGTAGGGCCAAAGCATCGCACACCTGCGGCTGTCAGGTTTCCAACAATTCCTATTGAGGAAATGAGGACACTTAAGTGAATCAAGCTCTCTCAATGGTCTTTTAACAATGAAAATGATTTTAAACTAGGCTACTTTATTTTCCCACATAAAAGGTATTAATGTAAATAATATACCCAAACATACAAGGGTAAAACAAACAGATAAGTAATAGCATAAGAAATATAGTTTAGTCTCTTTTTCAAGACTTAAGCTAAACAAAGCAAATGTCTGATAGCAAAGAAGAATTGTGTTTTTTAAGTTGTCTACTAAAAAAATGGACATATTTCAGCTAACAGATGCTGCCGTGGATGTGCTCACCAAGTTGTGCCAAGAAATCTGGAGAGCAACCACTTGGCCAACTAACTGGAAGAGGTCTATATTTGTTCCCATCCCAAAGAAGGGCGACCCAACTGAGT